TTTTAAAAATTCAGCAGGTAATGCAGCAGGAAGGAAGCAAGCACACCACTGATCTGCAGCAAACACCTTGGTGACGCGATAAATCTATACTACATAGATCCCTAAGGCCTTGGTGAGTACCAAACAAGCAGACTGAGACCTCTGAAAAAGATGGGTTTCGGTCTACTCCTAAACAAAATTTAGCACACTTCAAATAAAATATGAAAGAAATATGAATCAATCACATCTAAACAAAACAACAACATGATCTGATGTCATAGGGTGAGACTATAAAAAGGATAAAATGACAAAGCCTACCTATTTTATGTCATAAGTCACAGTTTTGTCCATTACAGTTCCATACAGGCATCCTCGGCTAGTATCTGATATTTATTTGTATGCGGCAGAGCTATTCCTGCCACTGTTTTCAACTTTTTCAAACAATTTTTCATGCTTTATCAATTGCTAAAACATAACACACACACATTTGTGCTTACAGCCCAACGCACAGAATGATTTTGGATGTTCAATGACTTCTGTCACAAAATATATATCATGAAATACATTTATCACATGTTTAGGTTTGATGAATCAGTATGAAATCTAACTTACTAACTTACATTACTTAAACCAAATGTATTATTTCATGTCTCAGTACGATCAAATAAAATCAAAATAACTGAACTACAAGTGTGAAAGCATCATTAATGCCAAATTATTATTATTATTATTATTTAAATAACTTAATAGCAATTAAGTTAATAGATTCAGATTAGATAGATAACAAACAGACGAGCTAGGATTGAACAGATAGCTATAGACAACAGTCAGCAAATCGGCACAGAGCATGCGTGTTGATGCTAGACTAAATGAACAGTGTTTTACAGCAACCCATAAACCTTTCGACCGCCATAAACCCAGTCCATGATAGTGTCAGTACTAAATCACACACGTGCGCACACAGCAATACGCACACACACAAAGCAATCTCCAGATTTAACTGCAGCCTAGAGCAACATCTCAACCTCTCTCTCTCTCTCTCTCTCTCTGTTGTTCTCAGTCTCATTCGCTCCCTGTAGGACTTTGCACTGTAATCAGAGACTTTGCTGTCCTGCAGTATGTGGTACTTTTTCAACATGGCATGTTGTATCCGGCAGTTCTGAGCCATTAAACTCACAGATGAGCATGTGAGTTGGGATTCGAAGTACTGTATATCAGAGAGTGTGTGTGTGTGTGTGTGTGTGTGTGCTGAGGCTATGCTGAGCTGTTATAAAAAGCTTTATCGGGTTCAGAGGAGCTGAGCTCTGTCGCTCCGTGTGGGATTGAAGCCAGACGGGGTCTTACAGCAGGTCCTGCTGAAGTCTCCAGCATACGTCTGTTTCCTTACAGCTTTCATTTATCACACTCTAAACTCCATCACCTTCAACACCACTCAGACGCACACACTAGAGCTTAACCTTTGCGGCACTCAGAGCTCCAGCAGCTGGCCACAGAGCAGATCTGCTGATACACACAGAACATGCACGATTACGCAAGAAACAGAAGAAACAGTCACTCGCTGTGGAACAATGAGTGCCAATGATCCGCTAGTTGACGGAAATTGACTGACCACTTTTGTTATGAAGCAATGCATTATGAATTATTTATTATAAATAGTACATTAATTAATAATATATATTATAAAAAACATTACGCTCTTGAATAAAGCCTGAGAGGTCATTGCAGTTATTTTTACTAATGAAAGAATTTGAAATTTGTATATTACCATCTTTCTGTCATTTTTATTTTATTTTTTGCTGTAGAAAGCAACTGTAGAAAATGCGTCATTCAAAAGACACTATAGAGTCTGTTTTACAATCTAGACTCAAAGTCTTAAGCGCATAGAACAAAGCAATAAGGGTTGTTCCAAATCCACTATTGCTATTTTAAGGACGGAAAAATATGATTTGCGCCGCATGGTCTAACAGGGTTGTGCTTATTCTCTTAATGAGTTATGGGTGTTTTGAGTATAATATGCATTAAACCAATCAGAGTCTCATCTCCCATTCCCTTTAAGAGTCAGTTGTGTTGCGTCCATTTGCTATATACATGACAACTTTGTAAGTAAAAAAACTGAGCTTTTCACTAGTGAGAAAACAGTTAAACAAACCATCTGCAGCGCATGGATAAAGAATGAGCCTCCTTCATTCGGCCTCCTTACTTTCACTTTACTTCTTTACATTTGTGGATGAGGAAATGGTTTTGTAAGCACTCCACTGAAGACATTCATTAACCTATATATTTAATGGGCTATATGCACAGCGATGAACTTCTGAAAGCTTTGTGTGACTTTTTATTTCATAATGTTCCTTTTACAACATCGATGTTGTAATGTAAATCAAATATAATCAGTTAAATAAACTGAAGCATTCATTTGGCTGTTAAAGCGTAAAAAAAGACAAAAGACCGCTTAAACGCAGGCGACATCACTAGCCGCAGGCTAGCTGAGATTCCATTGGAAATACTGGGGAAAAAATCAATTCCATATTTTAAAGACATGGTGTGGAAAAATATCATTTAATGCAGTGCTTCTTGTTTGGTCAGATACCCACTTTATATCTTTATATATTACACTTTATATGTATCTCAGCAAGGAAATGAAGATCGCTTTTTTTTTTAAAGAAATCAGATCTTAAACGCAGCAATTTGTACAGGATTACAATTAACCAAAAGCCCTGGGGCTGGCTGATTGAAATTAAAAGTCTGTGTGCATATACCCAATTTTATTTGTTTTAAAACTATTTTTTAAATTCAGTTCTAATTTCCAGCAAATTAATAAATGATCAATAATAACAAAGTGTGTTCAAAAAACAGAAATATATCCAAACACACGTCCTATTCATATGCACCATGTGATGATGCAGACTTTTCAAAACCGGAGGACAAATCTAAACTTGTTTTTATTAAAACAAATATAAATATGTATGCAGATATGAAGGACATGTAGAAAATAATAATTTCTGTGATATTTCAATCCTTTAATTCTTTTTCATTTGTAAAGACATTTGTGTTTTGCTGACATTCTGTGTCTATTAAGCAACGTGTAATCATTTAAGGTCTGGACTTTAGACTTGCTTTCAGCTGGTCAATTGCGCAGTCTATTTCAGTTCCTCAAAAAAGCAATGAGCCAACAATGCGCCCTTACACACCTTCTTTCTATACCGGAACACCCATGAGTCCACAAAACAGCACAAATAGATTTGCTATTTAAACAATGTGGCTCAAAAGGGGAAAATTAGGGTTGTGCTGGTTTGAAAATATCAACAAATTGCGCCAAACACATCTTGTGCCTTATTGCACCGAGTATATGATAGGGTCCTATATGTTAGGGTCAGTAAGATATTTTTTATGATATTGTCATTTATATAGCTGTATAATTTATCCATGCATTATGTGATAATGATAATAATAATAATAATTAACTCATTTATTTTCTTTTTGGCATAGTCCCTTTATTAATCTGGAGTCGTCACACCTACTTATCAAGCACATGTTTCATGCAGCGGATGCCCTTCCAGCTGCAAGCCATCGCTGGGAAACATCTACACACACTCATTCACACACACACAGTACGGACAATTTAGCTTACCCAATTCACCTATAGCATATGTTGTTGGACTTGTGGGGGAAACCAGAGCACCCAGAGTAAACATGAATACGGGAAGAACATGCAAACTCCACACAGAAATGCCAACCAATCCATAGTGAACAATCCAATAGGGACCTTGCTGTGAGGCGATTGTGCTAACCACTGTGCCACTGTGATGACCACAATAATATTAATTTACATAAAATGAATAATAATAATAATAATAATAATAATAATAATAAATGTTTCTTGTTGAGCAAATCTGCATTAATTAAAATAATTTCTGAAAGGTGCACGTGACAGAGTATACTAATATAATTCTATTATATATTATTATAATTATAATAATATTTTTGTACAATTATTATTACTATTACATCAATTATTTCAGTTTTCAATAAAGATTTTTTTAACTTTTTTCATAATTTACACTATCATACAGTAATTATAATATAGAATAATACCATACTTATAATCTACATAATTTACATATTTAAAATATCATGTCATTTACAAGTAAATATGTAAATCAGAGAATACCACAGTGTTCATCCACAGCACAGTTCATCCAAAAAATAAATTTCACACACTATTTATTTATTTTTTCTATTGAACACAAAAGTAGTTATTTTGAAGAATACAGAAAACCGGTAACCATTGACTTCCTTAAAAGGAAAAACAAATACTATAGAAGGCAATGGTTACAGGTTTCCAGCTTTCTCCAAAATATATTATTTTGTGTTTAATAGAAAAAGGGAAGTTAAAAAGATTTGTGACTAGTGAAGGGTGAGTGCATGATGAACTTTCATTTGTGGGTGAACTATTCTTTTAACGTCACTTGAGTATCTGAAACCAATAATAGAGTATTTCCACTGTACACTATCCAGTTATAATTCTACTAAGAAAAAAAAAGACCAAAAATGTCATAAAGTCTAAGAGCACTGCAGTTTCTAGCCTAGTGTTGCCTAGGAGACCCTTCCAGGCGACTCAGTTTGAAATGGTGCGTTTCTTCATCAAGCTTTTAGTCTAAAAAACAATCTTCTGGGAGGAGGTCGGCAAGCAAGAGCTTGTTCCTCATCTCACGAGACATCAGATCTCTCAACTCCATCAGACAAGCCGAACACTCAATCCCATACACTTGAGGTAAGATGCTTGTCACATTAAATGTAAAGCGTGAATCTTGTTACATTCTTGTAATCTGCTTGTAGATGGTGTAAGTGAGCCTTAAACCCCTGTTCCAAACGTTTCAGGGCTTAAATCAATTTGGAGCTAATGCAAAGCAGCTCTGCCCCCTGCTGTTGCACAGATGTACAGCACTTGACATTTGAGCTATTGGATACATTGCCTTTAGAAGTTAAAGGTCAGAGTTTTTGAGGAAAAGTTGAATATCTACCTCCACATCCCAGTGAAGCTGTACATGATGCTGACACATCGAGGTAAAGTGGGTGGCTCCAGCCCATCCAACCTGACGAGCAGAGATACAGCTCCAAACAGGACCAGATATTTGACGTAAAAAAACTGCACCAGCGCTAGAGCCAGTCCACCTGCAGGTGAAAAAGAGAGAGCGGTTAGATCACATGAATCTGCAAACCGGCCACATGCTTGATCTCACAGATCACATTTCTCTTTTAAGTTCCTCCTTAAATAGTCTTTCATTTTGTTTTGAAGGACTTCTAAAATATGTGTGCATGTATCCAAGGTCACAAAACAATAACACACATTTTAGCTTAACCTTTATTGTATAGTTTACAGTAGGGCTGAATGAAACTGAAAAAAAAAAAATCTATGAAGTTGTTTTGTATTGTAATAGCTATATTTCTTATTCCCATATAGAAATTCTATTTTTGAAAAATTAATTCATTTATTGTCCTTGGGCTTAATTAATTATTTATCAAGGGCTGCTACAGCGGTATGAACCTAAAATATTCCGTCATATGTTTTTTACACAGCGTATGCCCTTCCAGCAACAACCCAGTATTGGTAAACACCATCCACTCCCACATTCACACACACTCACACACTACAGCCAATTTTGTTAATCCAATTCACTTATAGCGCATGTCTTTGGATTGTGGAGGAAACTGGGGCACCCGGAGAAAACCCACACGAACACAGGGAGAACATGCAAGCTCCACATAGAAATGCCACCTGGTCCAGCCAGGACTCGAACCAGCGATCTTTTTGCTGTGAGGTGACAGTGGAACCATTTTTGAATAACAAATAATGTAATGATCAAAAAAAAAAAGAGGTAATGGATTTTCTTAATCAAATTTAGGCTAACATTTAAACTTTAAAACACTATAAATGATTCAAAACCTCATATTGTGAATATTCATATTCGCTGTTATCATTTCAACAACATGTTGTTAAGCAGTTCACTGCTCTGAGGTCATATAGATTCATCTTTAGGTCCAGTCTAGCCAATTACAATGAGGAATAAAGATAGTAAGCTTCTGATTGGTTAAATGAGCATAAACAGCCTATGAATAAAACAAACAAATGTTTAACATTTGTACAACTGAAATGTTACATTAAATAAATCTAATTAATCACAACTACCTACAATACAAATATTGTATATTATTGTGATCATGATCATTTTTTGATGTATTGTGTAACTCTAGTGTTCAGAATGATTAATACTAGTCTTGTAATCCCCCTCCGTAATATCGGCTAGATGTCTGTTGTGATTGGTCTGCTGTTTGCAGCACAAGTCTTAAACAAAACAGTTTTTTCCTATTTCAATTCTAACACAAACCCTACACTGGAAGAAGTAGCAACAAGATTATTTGGTCACACGTTATTTTAATGGTCCACTTGTTGAATTAAGGTTACATTGTATCTACATACTAATTCTCATTAGATTATAAGAAGACTGTTAGGTTAGGGTTAGTGTAAACTGACAGGTACTTGCAAAGTTTCTTATAGTCAGTTAAATGTCTGTTGAAAGAGCAGTATCAACAGATATTAAGCAGACAGTCTACTAATACGCAAATGGACCATTAAAATGGTAACTCGTTTTTTAGTATAAATAAACTATAGACAGAGTTCTTCAGCTTGATAAAAAGCGTAATTCCATGCTGAAATCCTATGCAGACCCATGCCCTCAGCTTCAATGTGTATGGTGTTTGAGGAGGGATAAAATTAAACATTGTTCACAGTCAATGAAAAGTGGATGGCAATATGCAAATCTGTTACAAACCTTACCAATGGAGATTTGTGCAGGAATAAAAACTGAATTACTGATGACTCGATTTGCCACTTTAACTTTATACAAAGCTAACATATTGTGCACTGTGACCTTTAAAACTTTGCCTTTTAAGTTCACAAACACCTACAGTACTTAGCATAATTGAGTACAGCCCATTTTGAAAATGAATATTTTGATGAATATTTGAATTTTTGATATTTTTATGTATTTTGGTGCATTTAAATAAAACAGACTTATAAAACAGATTTATTTATTAAAATAAAATTTTACTCATCAAGCATATTTAGAAATTGAAAGATAATACAATTAAATTCGAGCAAAATATCGGAAAAAAAAAATCCAACCTACAAAATTAACTAAATTTTTTATATTTTTTGTTTCTCTTAATTTTTCTTCTTTTAAAATTTGTATTTAATATTATTCTATAACATAAATCTTGATGTACTAGTTTTCGAACGATTATCGTAAGTTATTTTAATAGAGAAGCTCCAGATTTGGCTTCAGTACTGACTAATCAAACGTATATGCACAAATATAATACTGTATAGCTTCCTATTAAAAATATGAATTTAAAATATAGATTTCTAAGGGGTGTACTTATATATGCTGAGCACTGTATATTACACACAACATGAAAGGTATTGCCTAAGACAGCGTAATAATAGCGATTTAAACTTATGAGATAAGGGAGATGTTCAATCACACCAGACATTCACATAGTTTTGGCGATACAGTGTACATGATGAAGCTCATTTCATCCCTTGATCCTATTCAGGCTGTGAAAGACCACAGATTTTATGATTTATATCAGATTTCATTTTTATTCTGAACTGTTTCATAATTTAGTTCGATCAAACTCTTCCTCTCTAGTCATCTCACCATGTTCAACTCTCTCTCTCTCTGTGTGTATCATTGGAAACTGAGAACAGCATCTGTCTTTTCTCATATCCCACTGGTACAGAGCTAAAAGCTTGTGAACAAAACCGGACAGAATTTCAGGTACAAAGTGGCGATAACGAGTGAAAGTTACAGTGTGCTGATGCACAGCTACAATCTTCTCTCTTGCAGAGTCTGTGTTTTTGAATCAAAGTTCAAAGAGCACAAATCAGCAACTTCTGCAGATCAATACACAGCAAGAGCGTAAGTCAAGATGCTGCACAGGAGAAAGCACACACAGACACAGTGTGTATGCATTTTCGCTGTGAACATCTGTTAGGATAATTACATAACAAACAATTTAGCACCCAAAATAACACTAGTTACAACATGAATGGCTGCATCAATTCTGATAATAATTTGGTTTAAAAAAACGACACTGAAAAAAAAATGCTGGGTTCCAAATATGGGGCTGTCCGATTAATCGAAAAGTAATCGAAATCGACATTCCAACCCAATAACCAATCAAAATTTTCCAGGTCAATTTCTTCAATTTCTTACCCACGCGGTGTCAAGTGACCCTGCTCGGTTTTTTACTTTTGTGTTACTTTGTACTACATTAACGATGATAGGAAGCTGCGCCAGACATGCCTTAGATGGCATATTTTCCATTATATCAAAATTATTATTTAAATGTAAACATTTGTTTACAGAAGGTGCAAGAAATGCCCTGTTTAAACTAATATTTACAGGATATGCAATAATTATTTTTTATTTAGAAGAGGTACTGCTTATTTTCTACATTTGAAAGCATGAAAAATAGGCAATGTTGTTTCCAAAAGGGCAAGTTATTTGTTTTCATTTTAAAATCAAGTAATGCACCCTTAATTCTGTAATCTCTCACTTGTAATATGTGAGCATATATACTGTACAAAACCTGTCAGTGAACTATGAGGGGCAAACAATTTTTTTCATTAAAATAATAATAATAATAATAAAATAATTGTTTATTGATGGTAATGGAGTTAAAATGTTCAATTATTTAAGATTTTAATCTTAGACCAAATCGCCCAGCCCTAGTTCCACATAATTCTTTCATGTTGTCCCAACCCAAATCTATAAAGCTAACTTAATAGTTTTTCAAATTTAAGTGGATTAAACATAAGTCAATTAAGTTGTCCCCAAAAAACCCTTAAGAATTGTGTTGTCACAACTCATTTTAATTAAGCAGTTTGAACAAGCAGCAGAGGTCATTTATGAGTGTAAAATAAAAAGTAGAAATTTTAAAAAATGTAAGCTGTCAAACTCATGATATACAGCAGCAGTCTAATACTCATAAAAGTGTCACATAATTTTAGAAGTCTAGGAACATGACTTTATTTAGTCAGCATGCATGAAATAATTTAAAACATGTTACAATTATGTATAAATGGCACAAATGGTTTCTTTTTCAAATAAAAGCAGTTATTTAATATTTTTTATTCAGCAAGAAATGATGAAAAAGTATACCACCATTTCTGCAAAAAATAGTAAGTAGCCCAACTGTTTCCAGATTTGACGATAATAATAATATCAATGATAAATGTTTTAAGCATGTCAAAATAATCATGAAAATTCAGGGTGACACGGTGGCTCAGTGGTTAGCACTGTTGATTCACAGCAAAAAGGTCCCTGGTTCGAGTTGGCATTTCTGTGGGAAGTTTGCATATTCTCCCCATGTTCGCGTAAGTTTTCTACGGGTGCTTTGGTTTCCCCCAAATTCCAAAGACATGTGGTATAGGTGAATTGAATACTAAAGTGGAACTAAATTGGCCGTAGTGTATGTGTGTGAATGAGTATGTATGGATGCTTCCCAGTACTGTTGGCTGCTCATTTCGCTGTGACAACCCCTGATGAAATGAATGAATGAATGAATGAATGAATGAATAAATAAAAATTCAGCTTTGCCATCATTGGTATAAATATACCCAACATTTAAAATTCAAATAAACTATTGACATTTTGAACAGTTATTTTAAATTGTAAAAATACTTTAGAAAACTATTTTAACTGTATTTAGATCCATTAATTTATTTTTTTATAAACATTAAAAAAATCTAAGCAAAACCCACATTTTTAGTCCCAGTGTATATATTTTACACAAAAACAGGTTGTGTTTGGGGCTATTTTTTGTACATTGTGGGTAAAAATAACTGCACTGATATAGCATATCTGTCCCTAAAGACTGTTTATATGCTCTTCATCAAATTCCATACTATGAAAAAACTATATACATCCACAGACTTACCCATTGCCCAAGGCGGCAGCATCTCCAGGTAAGTTTCATTGCTCTGGATGGCATGCATGTACATGAAGTGGATCATGAATTCAGCCAAGCACCACCAGACACACAAGCGTAGTATTCCACTGAACACATGCAGCGCAGACACTTTACACAGTGGCCTCTCAATCTGCAGAGACAGAGGGAGTCATTACATCTGCATACAACACAGACCCTTCAATCGTTAACAAACCTCTGGCTTTTCTACCTGTTCACTGAAGTCTTTGTAGGTCATGATGGGTCCGTTGTAGAATAGAGGATGATAGAAGCAGAAAGCAGTAAGTTTGAGGAACTGATAAATTAGAGTCTTCAGTGCACAATTTTGAAGAGAGGAGCAGTGCTTTGGTCTTCCAGCCTGCAGGGGATGCCAGCACATCTCCAGACAAAAACTAATGCAATGCAAGCTACAAACAGCAGTGCTGAAGAGCAAGAGGTAGTACTGATCCTCAGAAGTGTACCAGCCACGCTAGAGAAAATAAAGTAAGGGGGGGGGGGAGACATTAAATTAACACCTACACAAAAGGAACCAGTAACTTTAAATTACAGTGAGATGACAGATGATGTCATTGAATAAATAAATGCGAGTGAAGCAACATTAATAAAGCTTGTAAGTTATATGATATTGAGGCAAATGTAGTCTGGTTTACATTCCTTCTGCACAATACATTAAGGGTGCAGAAGGTGATCTGCCTAAATGCTAACCGGTTAGCACAATATCTTTTAAATACAATCGATCCTCTGTTGTCCAAAGCCATGCCTTATGAAATCACGAACATGCATATTAAATCATATCCACTAGATCATCATTCGCCAGTTAGTAAACTTTATAGTACTTAATAATATTACAATTCTGAACGAAAAACTGTATTAAATCTAGCACATTTTCAGTTGCGTAGTTAGCAAGCAAAACTTGTCATTACTCTCTCATCAGTCTCACTCTCTTACACGCTTTGTCCTAAAGCGACTACTGTATGCTTAGTGGTTGGTCAGCGGGGTGCAGGAATTACACTTATTACTATGCCATACTCAATATAGGGACTGCAGGTTTTCATTGTTCAAACATGAACCACTGTGAATATAAAACCAACTTCAGCTCAGTAAAGCAGGCTAGGTGGAATAGCGCTCTTTACTTATGTTTTGTTGTAAAACTAAATAAAAATCTACATTTTTGATGCTGCAAGGTCTACATTTGCTGACAGACAGTTTGGGGTACTTGTCAGAATTATGGGAATTATCGGCCCGACAATATTTATTTAGATGAACATTTTTCAGTCTTATGCCTCACCCAGAATATAAAAATACATACACATACATTTAGATCATTTACTTTAATCATTACAATTGGAGTGTGAAGAGACTTTCAACAAGCACAACAACAACAAAAAAGTGTTTCTGAAGACAATCACCTACTGCACCTTTAACGTAACTGCATGAATTAATGGTTGTGAGTAATTTGTGCAAAAAAATACAATTTTTTTATAAGATAATTGGCAAAACACTCATTTGTAGTCTAGCAGAATTTGTAGTTTTCATAAAGCAGAAAGGAAAAAAGAAATACCCAAACAATCTAGTGTTTTTTGCTTCAATTTTGGAGTGTGCATTCAAGGGATACTTCACTAGTCAATAAAACAGTAATCCTGATGCCACTGGCCACATGATTAGGCCACTATACAAACTCATACAACATGGAACAAGTTTAATAAATGGATGCAAATTTGTTCCTCACCAAATGTAGCTATTTCAGATCAATTAGAATACACTGAATAAATATTACAATGCTTCCTCTGACAGCATTTAGGTTCATCTCACGGATTAACCTCTTTGTCTGACACCCAGAATAATAATAATTATCAACTTTATTATTATTAGTAGTGGTAAAAATAGTAGTAGTATAAGGTCAGGATTGCAATGGTGTACTTTTAAATTACTACAGCAGTATTGTGCACTTAGCTGCCACTTTATTACGTACACCTGTCCAACTGCTCGTTAACGCAAATTTCTAATTAGCCACTTACATGGCAGCAACTCAATGCATATAGGCAAAGATAATTTGCTGCAGTTCAAATCGAGCATCAGAATGGGGAAGAAAGACGATTTAATTGACTTTAAATGTGGCATGGTTGTTTGTGCCAGACGGGCTGGTCTAAGTATTTCAGAAACTGCTGATCTACTGGGAATTTCATGCACAACCATCTCTAGGGTTTACAGAAAATGACCCGGAAAAGAAAGAATATCCAGTGAGCGGCAGTTCTGTGGGCGCAAATGCCTTCTTGATGCCACAGGTCAGAGGAGAATAGCCAGACTGGTTTCAGCTGATAGAAAGGCAACAGTAACTCAAATAACTACTCGTTACAACTGAGGTATGCAGGAGAGTATCTTTGAATGCACAACACATCCAACCCTGCGGCGGAATCAGAAGACCACACTGGGTGTCACTTCTGTCAGATAAGAACAGGAAACTGAGGTTACAATTCGCACAGGTTCACCAAAATTAGACAATAGAAGATTGGAAAAACGTTGCTTGGTCTGATAATTCTCGATTTCTGCTGCGACATTCGGATGGTAGGGTCAGAATTTGATGTCAACAGCATGAAAGCATGGATCCATCCTGCCTTGTATCAACCGTTCAGGCTGATGGTGGTGGTGTAGGGGATATTTTCTTGGCACACTTTAGGCCTATTAGTACCAATTGAGCATCGTGTCAACGTCACAGCCTACCTGAGTATTGCTGCTGACCATGTCCCTCCCTTTATGACCACAGTGTAACCATCTTCTGATGGCTACCTCCAGCAGCATATTAAGCCATGCCATAAAGCGCAAATCATCTCAGACTGGTTTCTTGACAATGAGTTCACTGTACTCAAATGGCCTCCAGAGTCACCAGATCTCAATCCAATATGTGTGGTGGAACAGGAGATTCATATCATGCAAGTGCAGCAGACAAATATGCAGAAACTGCGTGATGTTATCATGTCAATACGGACCAGAATCTCTGAGGAATTTTACAGTACCTTATTGAATCTATGCCACGAAGGATTAAGGCAAAAGGTGGTTTAACCCGGTACTAGCAAGGTGTACCTTATAAAGTGGCCAGTGAGTGTATTCACATTATTTAAACCATGAAAACTGGTGAAGCAGTACCACAATCTACAACAAAAATCCATAACAAAATGTTTCAAACAGAAGGCACAGGCTGTAAAGTCTGACCACAAAGCCAGATCAACAAAAAAAAAAAGAAAAAAAAAAAGAAGGTTTGCTTCGGTGTGTTCAGATCCCATTGCCCCAATAACATTCTGTCACCCTCTACTAACTCTGCCAAAGCCTTGAAAATAAAAATCAAATCTAGTTTATTCAGGATCACAACAGCCTCTCTGTGCTTCAGTATGTTTGGAAACGGTCATTATTTTTCCAATTCTGTTTAACGCCGCCAGTGGGACAGAAAGGACACACTTCACTTGTAAAACTGTGGAATGCATTTGCTTCTAAATTTGAAAGAAACATAACACAGCCATACTTTCTGAAGTTTGTTGGGTTTGAAATCATAAATTTATAAATGTATTCTTTGAAATCAAAAGGCAGAATCAAAGCCAAAGAGAGCTGAGTGGGAATCTTTCTGTCGATCAAAGCTTAGCATCCGTAACCATAATTAATCTGATGAAATACAAATACAGTTCTTTTATAACTAAAAATCACTGTTGGTTGAATTCCACTGCAGTTCCAGTTTGGCAACAAAAAATTTAAATAAAATGAAAAATGATCGAATCAAATGTAATTATGTCTTAGCAACATATTTTAATGTGTCAAAACAAGAAAACTCTAGTTGTGTACACTTTTTTTCTTCTTTTTTTGTCATTGTTAAAAGTTTATTTATTATGGAAACAATTACATAAATGATCTAAAAATATACATTTGTTGGCTTTTGGTCCAAATTGTTTGAGTATAAAGTATCATGTAAAGTGATATGCTGCTCTGCTATTATGAGGAATTGTGTAATTGTTTTAAGTTCTCTTTCCCTGATTTCCCTGAAATGGGAATTTAATTTAGATAAGTTTCTATAAAAAATGTCAAACAGCTATTATAAATTGCATCTCTTCACTATATATATATATATATATATATATATATATATATATATATATATATATACACACACACACACACACACACACACACACACACACACACACACACACACACACACACACACACACACACACACACACACACACACACACACACACACACACACACACACACACACACACACACACACACACACACACACACACACACACACACACACGATTTATTTATCTTTGCCATGATGACAGTAAATAATATTTGACTACATATTTTTCAAAACACTTTTATACAGTTTAAAGTGACATTTAAAGGGTTAACTAGGTTAATTAGCTTAACTAAGCAGGTTAGGGTAATTAGGCAAGTTATTGTGTAACGATGGTTTGTTCTGTAGACAATCAAAAAAAGAATAGCTTTTATATAAATAAAAGGCTTAAGATGGACTGTTGGTGATTGGATGGATGTCTGCCTGGTTGGGTATTTTTACTTGAACAGAAAAATTAAGACCTGTTTAAAATGATTTAAGACTTACAAGACATTATTTCAATGAATTTAGGACTTTTTGAGGCCAATATTTTTGTTTTTGAAATTTAAGACATTTAAAGACTTTAAGTTCCGCAGGGACTCTGCACTTAAGTGCCCAAACTCTCTAGTTTGTCATGAGGATGGCAAAGGACTTCTTTTTTCTGTTCAAACATGTAGATATTTTGAAGAATGTTGATAACTAGCCTCAGTTTCCATTGACTTTGCATTGTATTTTTGTATATACAGGAGAAAACCAATGGAAGCAGAAAAAGCATGATGCGAAATATATTTGTGCTCCATAAATGACACGAGGATGAGTAAATGCTGACTGGTCTCAATAGGTTGGTGTGCAAGTGATGAACAACTGCTGCAAACCACAGCTCCATCTTTCTAGATTACTCCACCTCAGGCCAGCATCCACAGATCCTCGGTGGCGAAACTAAACTAATATGATCTACTGGGCATGCTCGGAATAAGACAGCTGGCATCCAGCCAGGAGTCACAGCAGCAGCCACTTTCAAAAACTCATTATCGCCACTCAAAAATAAAGCTATAACCACCTCTAAATTGCACTAAATGACAGGCCAGCATTCTGAAATTAGCTGCTGGCTGATGCTGTTTTTCTTTGGGTGCCATTATGGCAGTCTGCATGGGTATTGCGGTCTTCCTGAGGGTTTTTCACAGCTCATAAGTAACTGAGGTGAACAGAGATGTACTGAAAAAGAGAGATCATTAAAAGCGAATAAAGATCACAATAGATTAAATTACAGTTGTTTGTTCTTCGGATTGGTGTGTTAATGACTGCCACTGAGTAATAGATAATAATTAGATGAAGGTTTAATTAAGAGTGGAAGCTTTGAGATTCTGTCGCAATTAATCAAGGGGAAACTTGAGGAAAGGAGGGCACTCGTTTGTCACTCCAATCGATATTCCCTCAGTCTCTTTTCTTCCCTCCATCTGTGCAAGCTTGTTGATTTTGTTGCTCTGCCCATCAGTCAGCTATCTAACGACAGCTGTCACTCAATCATTCACTGTGTCAAATGACCAAACAAACAAAAAAAGACCTATTGGGGCACTATTTGTTGTAGCATCCATTGTGTGAGAAACAGTTGTGCATGTAAACATTTGACTTTGAATGTTTGCACAGGAGACTGTTTGAGAGTGTATCTCTGGGTTTGTGTGAAGAGAATGGTGACATTTAAAGCAGGCTTGTTTCAGTCTCATCTCCATTCTCTCTGCGGAGCTCTGCAGATGTGCACTGAGAGCCCTAGAGACAGCAGACAGACTCTGCTGGACCTCCTCACTCTGCCCTTCACACCTCCACCCCATCAATACAGAAAGATTTCAAGACATATACAGTAGGTAGGTCAACCAACTATGATAATTCTTTCATCGTTGGCTCAACCTGGGTCAAAATCTATAAGACTGTACATGTTTGCAATGCAGTTTGTAACAATGAAGCTTGTGAACTTAGTTAACCTTAGCTAACGATGGTTTTCGGAAATGCACCCCAGAGCAGTTCAGACTGATGGAAATCAGGAGTTTAAAACAACACATCATGAAACAAATTATTTAGACTCTCTTTGAGAAGCTATTTGGTGTTAAAATATGTTGAATGCACATAAATCTCACAAACAATTTGACTCAAAAAAAAACAAAAAAAAAAACTATTTGTTCTAGTCAGGTTCTGCTACTTCCTTCATGAATGTGAAGTAAGGCACAGGACCATATTCACTATACTTTTATAGTGGTTTAGTGTCCTTTTTGAAGCTTGAAATATCTAGCTGTTATTCATGGTAATTGCTAGGGAAGAAAGCAACTAGCACATCATTCAGATTTTTCTTTTGTGTTGCAAAGGGTAGAAAAAAGCAAGAACTTGAAATGATATGAAAGTAAGTAAATGAGGCCAGACTTTCATTTTTGGGAGAACAACCCATTAAATTGGACACTTTTGTGCAATTTCTTCTCAGAGAAAGAGCTACTTCTTGGTCTCACATACATGCAGTTACAGACAGACAGACAAACCCATACACACACCTGTAAATCTTGAAGGGCACTGACATTAAGAGTGGAGAGCAGCAAGAGGGAGCAAAACCACGAGAGGACGGGGCTACGTAGCTGAGCAACCACCAATGAGATGCTCAGATGCAGCATCAAAACAATCACACCCCTCACCCCGAGAATCCAACCAGCTGAGATCAAACCATACATCGCAAAGACTGCCAGTCGATACTGTAACACAAGAGCACAGAGAAAGATGAACAAGCCTGTGCCCATTTTGATTACTTTGCTTTTAAATTAAACTTACCTGAGGCAGATAATAATATGCCAGCCTGGACACCACAGCATGGCCAATCAGAGACCAGAGAAGAGATCGCCACGCCCACTCATTCCAAAAACTCCACTCAAAATCAGTAGGGTCCTAAAATCACAGACAGAAAAACATGCAATTACAGAAAATAAGAGAGAGAATGTGTGTGTGTGTTTTGTACATCTGTAGAAAAGGAAATTGATAACTGAGCATGAAACAGGAACCTGGGCTTGGTGGGGTGCATCAGACAAATGTGTCACCCTGATTAAAGTCACTAATATAATTACTCTCACCTTCTTAAATCCCCATAAAAGGAATCCTCTCTCCAGCTGCACTTCTTTGTCCAAACTGACCTCATGCTCTGCCAAACACAAACACACACACACACAGACACAAACACAGGAGAAATCACATAAAGTTCCATAAAATGTAAACGCATAACTATTTGAAAAAATATATGTAATCTGATATGTAATAGTCAAATTAACACCTTACAAAAGTATTTAATGAGGTGATCCCAAATTGTTGTTTAGAATAACAACACAACATGCAATAGCAGCTTAAAGAGATCTCATTCTCAGCTACAATATATAGGTAACTTTTTTCTTCAGAGGAATATTAGCAAATAGCAAACTTGGTCATTTAAACAGTTAAATAGGCTATAAATATTTTGAGAGTCAAAAAATGTTCAGGTAAAACAAAATTAATACCAGTGGTTTCATATTTTGGCACAAAATAATTGGATAGGAAAATAAACTATATTTTACAATGTTAGTCATTTTCATTTGCTTTTTTTTCCAAGAGTGTTAGCTGTGAACTTGCATGTTTTGCTAAAGAAAAAAGTCACTTATATCTTTAATAGACTGTGGGTGAGTAAATTAACAATATATTTTCATTTTGGAGTGATAATCCCTTAACATTCTCAATCTTTCTGACCCTATTATTAATAACAGTATTCTAAGACCACAAAATATTTACTGTTGCTCACTGGATTATTATTCATTCATTCATCCTCTTTTCGGCTTAGTGCCTTTATTAATCCAGGGTTGCCACAGTGGAATGAACCACCAACTTATCCAGCATATGTTTTACGCAGCGTATGCCCTTTTAGCTGCAACCCATCACTGGGACCCATCCATACACACTCATTCACACACATACAGAACTTACAATTTAGCTTACCCAATTCACCTATATCGCATGTCTTTGGACTTGTGGGGGAAACCAGAGCACCCGGAGGAAACCCACGCGAACACGGGGAGAACATGCAAACTCCACACAGAAATGCCAACTGACCCAGCCGAGGCTCGAACCTGCAATCATTTTTTATGTGAGGCGATCGTGCTACCCACTGTGCCATTGTGACATCCACATTCAAGTATAATTGTATGAAAAAAATAACAATAAAGATAAATTGAAATGTCTAGTTTTTATTATTACAATGTAAATTTTATTTTAAATGGTTGAAAATGGGTCATCTTGTGGACGCCTTGGTTGAAAACTACTAATCTAAATTATTCAACTTCTACTTTATTATTCATTTTGATCCTACAGACACTATAGGACATGGCACTTTCTTTTCTCCTGAAACAGCTCCACTATAAATATTCTGTCATCATTTATTTATCCACATGTCATTCCATACCTGTATGGTTTTCAAATGGCCATAGATCATGAAATTAAAAAGTTTTAACCATTCCTTAAAATGAAAATGAGACTTTAAGAGACTATAGCTCCAAGCTTTGACTTTATGTTAAACTTGATTTACAAAAAAATAAACAAAAATGCAAAGTTTTCATCTTTAGGTGAACTATACTTTCAGATCAACTATTTCACTATGAGGAACATATGCTCAAGAGCTTCAGTATTACAAAAAGATTCTCCATGTTGAACCATGTAGTTTGAAGTTTCAAAATCTCTTGCATATTCTCTGCACGCATGCATTACCTCTCTTCTTTCTCCCCTGCAATGCAGTGTCAGTTTGGTGTTGTTCTCTACACCCCACCCCTTCTTAATCCCTCTCTCCCTACATCTCTTTCTTCAACCAGTTTCTCAGGACGGACCTCTCATCACCTCGACAGACGGTTTTCCTGCAGGGTGTACTGGCAGAGCAAGGATCTATCCACACTGTCATATATATACACACACACTTTTGTCTAGAAAAGAAAGGGCACATGCAAATGGAATTGAGTTCACAGTGCCATCTGGTGGTCAAACTGATTTTAGACAAAGTCTTCTGGACATGATTGTGGTGATAACAGACACTGGTCTGGTGTCGTTTTAAATTAGGATCCTTTATTAAGACAATGGAATAAACAGTACCAAAATATGCCTTTAAGATGAATAATGCAATCCTGGCTTTGCAATAAAGACACAATGCAATTTTTGAGTTGAAATGTGCGAAATATGAATATGAAATAGCATAAGCTTGTTATTTACAAAGTAATAATGTAAAAGGTTTTTCTGTGCATCTTGTGTTCTGCTGAGATTAATTTTAAATGATTTCTCAGCAATTAAACGAACTAGGTGGAAATGCTGTTTCTGAAAGACTAAAAAAAAAATTATTTTTGGAAGTGTCATCAGTCTTAACCGTTATTACTTATACAATGGTTTTTCTCTGTGCATGAGGAGATGCCCTATTTCGAAGCTTTATTTTTGCACTTGTTTTGACTGGCATGTTTTGGTTGAAAGAGATAAAATGGGTGCTGCGTGTTGCCTTTTGCTGACCTGAGATCTCGTCGTCCCTCAAAATGACAGCACAACCTTTTCAGAGCCCTTAGAGTCAGCAGTTAACACGACAGAAACGAGCACTTCGCACACACACGCATACATAGACACATACATGCGCGCACACACACACACACACACACACACACACACACACACGCACACACGCACACACACACACACACACACACACACACACACACACACACACACACACACACACACACACACACACACACACACACACACACACACACACACACACACACACATTCCACAGCAGCCCATTTCAAACTGACACATCAGAAAATAAAGCCCATGTATGCACTAAAATGCATTTTGCTTGCAAAAAATGTATTTTATATTCATTCTGCATAAATCTTTTAAAATAAATAATTAAACAGGTATTTTATTCATTCATTTGGCGGAATAAACCACCAACTTATACAGCATATGTTTTACGCAACCCAGCACTGGTAAACATCCATACACTCTCATTCACACCCATACGCTACAGACAATAAAGCCTACCCAATTCACCTATACCACATGTCTTTGGACTGTGGGGGAAACCGGAGTACCTAGAGGAAACTCACAGGAACCAGGGGAGAACATGCAAACTCTACACAAAAACGCCAACTGACCCAGCTGAGGCTCGAACCAGCGACCTTGCTGTGAGGTAAACGTGCTAACCACTGCGCCCCCGTGCAGCCCAGGTATTTTATTGTCATTTATTAACAATCTTTATGGGTTGTTGCAAACCAGGGGGTAGTGGTTGGTTGTCTAAAGGTTGTTCATTTATTTATATTCATTTGTAGGAACACATAAGGTTTAATATTTGAATCGGTGTTTGAATGTTAATTAAAATTGTACCTTTGGACCCCTCAATCTGTAGCTTTTTGTATAAGGCAAAGACAAGGTTTAGAGCTGACAAACCAAACAAATCCAGACTGGCTAAGATTGAGTTCAGTGGTCTTCTTACAGCATTCAGTATAAACCTTCGCTGTAAAATCAGGGTTTAACTGTTCAGATAGCTTGTGATTAATTCTGGAGCATGTGGACTAGGGCTCTGCCATATGAGAATATATATTGTATGGACAAAATAAAAGTCTATGGTTTCATATTATTGTTTATAATCACAGAGTATCACAAATACATTGCTTACAGTAATACTTTTTCATACTTTATATTAGTACTATATAACACATTATTGTGAAGATGCAGACAGAACATTATGAAGAGCATCATGCAGCATTTTTATTTTTTATGTTGGACCTGTAAGTTTTATATTTGTACATTTGCCCTGAAGTTTTAAATAAAATGAGAAATATGATCACATATGATTGATAAAATTTCTGAGTATATATTTTAAACTGTAAAAAGAACTTATACTAAATGCACTTATATGCATACTATATAAGTTATTAACTGATTGAATTTACAGAAATGATACTATATCATTATATATAATCTTAACAGGATATGAGATGACACACATTTACTTTGTCATATCGCTCAGCCCTAATGTGAACACAAAACATGAAAATGAAGTGTTTGACTTACTTCTTTGATGAACATTAAAAATACTTTTCACCTAAAAATGTGGATTGTTCACCCAAAAATCTCAATTTCTGTCATTATTTACTCACCTTTCACCTGTTGAAAACCTGTTTGAGTTTCTTTCTTCTGTTAAACAATGGAAGTTAAACTGAAGAATGTTGAAAAAACAGCCATTGATTTGTTGGACGTTGACTTGCTTTGGCCAACTTTCTTCAGAATATCTTCCTTTATGTTCAAGTGAACAAAAACAATGAAAGTTTAGAACCAACTGAGTGTGTGTGATGAGGGAATTTTTCATTTTCGAGTAAACTATACCTCTAAAAACAAAATGAAATCAAGTGCAAGAATAAACCCTTCTGTTGAAAGATGATATCAGAATATAGCAATGCAAGCGAATCAACTTCATAAAATTTACAAAGATGTAATGTATAATAGATGTATTTATATTCATATAAAAAAAAAGAGTAATACTGTTGGTTCAATTAAAAATTATGATGCAAATTCCCAACTTGAGCCCCACAAAAATTATTTGCTCAATTTAACCTGAACTGGTTAGTCAAAACGGCTTCATGCAATTTGATTCCACAATTACTGAGATCCTAGATTTCTGTAAAAATCTCCTGTAAACAGGGGGTTTGTTTTGTGCAGCTCACCTTTAGAAAAACTGTGCAGCTGGTAGAATGAATAGAAATGAGAGGAGAATGAAAGAATCCAGTAAGCCACCATCTCCCATCGAGGTAGAGATACCAGCTCCCATTTTGGTGTCATGAAGACTAAACCTGCAGGTTAAAAAAACATTATCCAATTAGTAATGCAAGTGATCAATATGAAATGATTAAGTTGTCACTGCAAGTGTTTTCATTTTAAAATTCAATATAATTTTCAAAATAAAAAAGAGAAAATTAAGTAAACCGGAATAAATGTAGAATTCAAATGTATTTCAGAAGATGTGACCAAAGGTATTTCATAGACAACAATAGTCAGAAGTCAAACTTACTGATTTTAATAGACAAACAATAGCATTCTTCACAAACTAATAAAACAACAACAAAAATGGTTTCATTAATTGTTTTATCACCAAATTGCAATGAATTCCACAAAAATATACACTCAAATGAAACTCGAAATAAGAGGACTGCTTTCATGACAATAATTCTGAATAGTTCTATTAGTATGTAAAGTGCAGCGAAATGTATTAGCTCTAAAAGCCATTTAAGACTTTAAACAGTTTAAATGGGTTACATAAATCACCCCACTACATAATCATATGGCAACAATTCCCGCACTTTGATATTTGCATAAACGTTTCGGTTACTCACATAATAAACAAACAAAAAACTCTCGCGCCCGCTAAAAGCAGCCGTGAAACTCCGCCCTTTACTTCCGAGATTTGCCACGCCTCCGGATCGCGATTGGCAAATTTGACGATTACGTAACGTATGAGCGCTTTAACCCTCTGAGTGCATACTTTACTATTACCCCATAAGTACTGCAGTGCATTCCCAATAAAACAAGAGATTTGTTTAAAAATTCTTCATAAAATATATCCAGTGAATAGTACTGTGGCTAAGTATATGGAGGTTGATCGTTCATGCTTATTTTGTAAAACTGAAGACAAAAGTTTTTTCATATTTTTTCCGTGTGAGTTTATATCTTCAAATAGGTAATTGCATTGCTTCTTCCAACCCCTTTCAACTAACGTTACAAGATATAATTTGTTACTATAAAGGTAAAACCAATATTCCAGAGAACTGCTTTTTTTATTTATTTTGTATGGAAAATATTTTATTCACAAACAAAAATTCTTGAATTCGCAGCCTTTTTTCCACATTTTTAAATTGTAATTAATTAATTAATTTTTTATCTGGTTAAAAACAAAAAAAGTGATAGATTCTTGGATTATTATGATAATTATTTTGAAAATATCACGGATACATAAATCCTTATTTCCTCTTGCTGTATTTGTGTTATGTATCTCTGTTTAATTTTGTTTTTTTTTTACTGTTTTAAATGTGTTTATAAAATTATTTAATTTGATCTGTTAAGTTTTAATCATTGTTATTATTATTATCTTTTTTGTGTAAGATCGGATTTTGTATGTTTGTTGAAGTCAATCAAAAAGTGCATATTTTGCCTCAAATCCTCCATAAAATATTAAATTCTTAACATTATAAAAATTTTTGCTATTTATTTGTGCATTTCAGCTGTTCACTAATTATTTTTAATATAATGTATTCAATAAAGTGTTGGCAGATATTACCGGGTAAATCACATTTTTGTTTTTAAATACATATTTCATATTATCAAAAATCCTAGTTATTTTTCTGCTGAATGTTGCAAAATGTCACTAACATAAAAATAAACAATATAAAATTTAAAAAATGGTTTAAATCTTCATTGGATTTCTTTTAAACTATACAACAAATAAATAAATAAATAAATGAGTCTTGTATATTTTTGATTATTTAAAGATCTGACAACTTGCATACTTTGAAATGTTCTTTTGATTTAATGCAATGTGTCAAACATAGAAAATGTATGAATAAACTTTATAAAAATATATAATGGACTAGCCTAAAGGAAAATGAATGAATGAATGAATTAATGAAATTAAACCAACATTAATCCACAAATGAACCATCAGTTAATACCAAGTACTTTTTAGGGCCTGCTGCTCTCCAAAAAATGGATATACCATGGATCTATATAATGATGTTATTTTGAGTTTTTGTTTTTTCTCTTTTAATATCAAATTTACGATATAATTATTCCCAATTCATAAATGTGCATAAATGTTTTAAAACAATTAGGTTTGGCAAGGTCATTTTTTCAAATAGTGCAAAAACGATTTAGAGCTTTACAGCCATGGAAGTCCAATGAGCTTTAGTACTCTATGGCCCAGCATGTTCCTTGTTTGGAAGAAGTTATATGCTGTGAGCAAATATAAACAAAAAACAACTACAAAATGCTTACGCACATTAGTATAACTATTTACGTACATTCAGATGAGAGGGTCAAAAGGACACAGACTTTGACAGAAAAGATGCATGCGTGTGGAACTAAAGTCCATGGTGCACTGTGGCTCACTGCCATTTAGAGAGAACATCTATCTATCTATCTATCTATCTATCTATCTATCTATCTATCTATCTATCTATCTATCTATCTATCTATCTATCTATCTATCTATCTATCTATCTATCTATCTATCTATCTATCTATCTATCTATGTGTCTGTCTGTCTGTCTGTCTGTCTGATCTACCCCTCTGTAAATGCTCCACTAGGAGGCAGCAAGAGGTTTAGTGTATTTGAGCACAATCTTCAGAGGCTCAACGTGTTGCATGTAGAACCCGAAAAGTGAAACCGATTTATGTTGACGTCATTAAAAATATAACATTAGCATGTAACAAAAACGTGGTTTATGTGATAATATACAGCAAATGTGGCTCGTTTGAATTCACACAGAACCTGTAAAAAAACAAAACCTGTTTACACGCCTCACACTGAACCCACTGAAGTTTCATGTTTCTGAGTGTTCTGTGGATTCACGACGACAGTACAATCCAAGATTACGCAACATCCAAAACTCCCAAAATCATTATAGGATATTGCAGAGTTCGAATCGATTGTGACAGCCAGAGCACTTGTGATTCATGACCTGGTTTGGTTCATAATAGAGCTGATTCAGGGGGCGTTTTGAAGTGAGGTTTTCTTCACACGAGCTCTTTGTCAACAAGTTTCCTCCTCCTTCAGAGGAAAAGTCACGGGCTGCAGAAACTAGAGCAAAACTTTACTCCACCACAGTCTACACGGTAAAATGGCTGGACGTGTGAGCGCCAGTTTGCTGAATTCATTAACCAGGGGAACTATTCTCTTTAAAAACAAGAAATGCTTGCGCAGAAGTGTTGTTTTCATCTCCCGGTGTCACGCGAGGTCTCTGTCCAGAAGCAGCATCAGCGCGGCTCAGCTGGACCTCAGCTCGCATCTCTCTGGAAGAAACTACGCGGATTTATATGAACTGTCAGTCAAAGATCCAGAAAACTTCTGGGGGTCCATTGCCAAGGAAAGGCTGGCATGGACCAAACCTTTCGACCAAGTGTCGGACTGTGATATTTCCAGCGGGAAAATCAACTGGTTTCTTGGAGGACAACTGAATGTCTCTGGTGAGTGACGCTCGTTCTGTTTTAGGCTTGTTTTGATCACCTCCACTTTACTCTGTATCGAAAACTAAACAAACAAACTACAATTCTGTTTACATTTAGTGTATATTCCAGTTGAAGGCATTGTTTACACTTTCAATAACATAATATCTACAGTGAGTACAATGGTACTATCCTCTTACATTTATTGACAGTGAATTGTTTGGATGTACACGTGGCAAATGATCCAAGCAGAGTGGCCTTGATTTGGGAGAAAGATGAACCTGGCACAGAGGAAAGGATCACATACAGGTACATTCATTGAAGCTCATGGGAAATGCACATGTGGCCCTTATCCTAACCCAGCAACCTCACCTCCCCCACCCCTAGTTAAACCTTTTTAAAGCTTACTAGAATTTGTTAACTAAATGTTGCTGCTAATTCTTTGTAAATGCCAATATTTATAGTAATGTTTTTCACAGTTGTCTATAGCATTTTGACACCAATGCATAGACACTGGTTGCTTTGCTGTTCTGTTCACTATTACATTAGTGATGAGTAATCATCATCGTAAAGTATTACGTAATGTGTTTGTAATTCAGCAATTATTTTAATTTGAGTAATTTTGATCTTTTGTTGTTTATTAATTTGTATTTTTCTATTTAGCTCAGATATATTTTATATATTAATTAAATTAGATTATTTAAACTTACTATAGGTTAGTTGACAAGTGGAACATTTCTTTTTCATATGCTCTATTTCAGCTTCAACATGGGAAACAAATGTTGTTTGTTAGGTGAATCAAAATTATTGTTTATTAGCCTGATTGGGATTCATATTAATTCATATTATTTAATTATAACAATTGACAAATTGCATTGAATCTTTTGCTATTGATTTTTGTTCAATAGACATGGTTGAGTACTGAGTGCTGTAGGCAAGGCTAGTACTATACAGTGCTCAGCATATATGAGTACACCCCCTACAAATCTCTCATTTTAATTATTATGTTCTATAGGATGCATTACATTATTATATTTGTGAATATACATTAGGTTTGCAGTAATGAAGCCAAATCTGGAGCTTATCTAACAAAATAACTTTCAATAATGGTTCAAAAATTAGTAGCCTAAATTTAAATGTTGGGGGAAAATATTAAATAAAAATTTTAGAAATAGCAAAAGTCAAGAGAAACAAAACATATTTACAATTTAGTTGAAATGTTGTAGTTTGTATTTTTTGCAATATTTTGCATGCATTTAAATGTATGATCTTTCCATTTCTAAAGATGTTCTGTGACTAAAATATTATTTTAATAAATATATCTGTTTAATAAATCTGTTTTATTCAAATGCACCAATATAAATCACCCATATTCGCTGAGAAATGGATAAAACTTTTTATTTTTAAAGTGGGGTGTACTCAATTATGCTGAGCACTCTATGTCATGCTCATTTCCACTAGTTTGTCATTTAGATTTTCTTTGCCATCTTGGAATGCTCTCTAAAAGTTAATTTTCACAATCACCAAATATAATTGTGTAAAAATACTTGTGTTCATAGTCTAAATGCAATTTTGAAAAAAAAAAAAAAGATGTTTGTTTGTATTATATTTCAATAATTTTGTAATAGATTACAAATTCTGGACATACTGGGATAGACAGGGTTCACATGTAGTTTGAGAGAGCACACTATTGAAGAGTTAGGGGGGAGTTTCATGCGCACTTTCATATGGAGAACAAAGGCAGGTTTTGAGGGTCCTTTGAAGGAATGTGCGCCTCCCCCCCACCCCTTTCTCTACAGCTTGAAAAAAAGATTTAATGTTTCTGGCTGTGTTTCACATCACCACAGTTAAGAGCAAGCTAAATATTTACAGGATCTACTGCTCTTACTGTTACCAAAACACAGCGGTCAGCAGGCTGTTTCCTCTAACTCAACCAGCCCACACTGAACCTTGAAAAGGAACTATTTCACATATTTTATTATGGAGATTTGGAGATTAGATTCACAGTATCTGCTGTTCTAGGTCAGATATGAATGATTTCAGAGTGTTTTTGGGAAGAAGCGCTCAGATTGCATAATCAGTCGTGTGTAAAGGATGACACCGTTAGCAAAAACAGATGTACACGTCACTTTCCTGCTTCCACTCAAAAGCAGGAAGCTCAGAGATGTCAGTATGCTATAGTGTGAAAGTGAAAGTGTATTTTTCTGCACTCACAACCATATGGAG